CATTGAATTTAAACCATCGCTGAAGTCCGGATCTTCTTATCGGTCAAGCATATTCATTTTATCTGGCTTCCTACAATATGTCACCTAATTCATCCCACCACAGTCAGAAATATCATAGGTAATAGTTGGCAGTCTTGTATTACTCCTGTCTTTAAGGTGCATACTTATGGCCATAAAATAAGGCATACATACATTATACATCCGTTTTGTGAAGTTGTTAAGATCATCCGCATTTGAAATATTATATGTCTTACGTTATTGGAAATATTATTTTCCTTTAATAATGTAATAAGCTAAAGAGGGGTTGTTCAGTTTGCTCACGACATCCTCATTAAAGTGTCTGAATATATACTGAACCTAAATGACAGTAAATATCTTTTAATCCTGTGTTATTGGTCAACTGGTGGCTGGTGTGATGAAAATTCATCCATATACATAATCCCTATTCATATCCGCCACTTGTGAGAACATTCAGTGTATAGAACCTCTTCACTCCTTCCCCAAAATATGTGTTCTACAATATTTCTCTTCTCCCTGAAAAGTACTAACATCCAGCTAAATTCTTCTCTTCGTCAAGTGAATCTCATTGTAGATGAGCAGTACAAGTTGGCTTTTATATAATTGTGATCATTGTTGTAAATTATTTGCTAATTGCAGAAACAATTTCTCAAAAGAATTTACATCTTTTCGACTGTGTTACTTTTTCATTCGTACTTTTATTATTCAGATCGATTTCCTATTACATAAATGTAGTGAACTCCTGGTATCATTGTCAATTCATCATTCGAACGTCTCTGACTGCAGCACTAAGTGACGCGGGTTCGAATCTCAGAAGGGACATGAGTTCTTTCAAGGTTGCAGATACGCCTTGCTGATGAGTGCCAACTAGTACGAAATCTAGGTCTAAGGTTTCCTGCCGATTGCCTCTAACTACCGCATATATCATCAAATCAATGTGCACCGTGATGATGAGCTGCCTAGAATGGTGGCCACATTGCAAAAGCTGACTGACAGAATTCAGTCTGCGCCAAAGAAAGGACTAGATACGTCACACTAGTTACTAGTGTCCAATTAAAATCATTGTCTTGTATTTAATTGATTCCGTGGTTAATGTTTTATGAACTTTTACTGCATCACTGTGTATAAGTGCAAGTCTACTATGCATAATTTGCGACAAGTTTAGATTTCATGATTATTATAATTTTTTCTACTATAGTTGTGAGTAAAGCAAGAATAACGCTTTGTGTAGAATAAGATGATATCATCATTGCTGATTTCGTCGGCTTCTCATCAGCTGTATACAGACCAAAGGAATCGATTTAGTTGATGTACACAGAAATTTTAACCTACTTGTAAATATTACGTAACGTCAGTTGGCAGGACAATTCAGACTCAATAAACAGTGCTCAGATATTATATATTTATACAGCTTATACATAAGTAAGTTCAAGTTGTAAAAAATAAATGCTTGGATAAAATGGTGAAGGAATCCTATAGCCCTGGTACCTGGATGTCTTTACTCTGTCTCTTTTATCTAATGATTACATAATTTTTGACTTCAACCTCTTCCCCTTCACTAAAGTGTAATTTTACACATCTATTATTTCTGGGATTTCAGTTGGACTCACCGCATTATTACTTTACTTATTAGATACACATCATTTTATTCACCTCAAGTCTTCATTACGCAACTCTTTTCCATTGTATTGAGACATTTATTGTTGTTTGGAGGATCTCATTATGAGCTGACATCATCAGTCAGAGAACCACTGGAGAACCTGGGAGTACTGGACAGTTGTTTCGTCACCCTAGTTTGGGACTCTTCATCGGAACACATCTACCAGGGTTCTAACCTGGGACCTACTAGTTATAGGGCGAGTTAGCTAGTAGGCGATTAACCCACTGGGACCTGATCCAATGGCCAGTCTGTGAATTCTAACTTCTGCCAATTCATTTATTCATTTATATTTAGTACTATTATTTATTATTTTTAAGTTTCAAATTTTTATGGATAAGCTATATAGGTTTAACTTCTGAGCTTTGTTTATTAAGTTTGAAGTCTTATGTTAACTTACATCATGTCACATTTGAAAGTTGTTCTGTACATAAACTTAATAATTTCTTTAGGCTGCATGCTGTCTGTCCATGAGGAGTCGACAAAATAAACGCTCACACTATGTTATTCTGTACAAAACCTTTTTTCTTGTTTTATTCAAATTAATAAAGGGTAGTACATGTATGATATTACTACTAATTTTAGTAGTAATAGTAGTATGTACATCAGAGGGTGAATTATGGAATACTCGCCAACTATATATGTGGCAGGCCGACTCCCCCGAGCCTCTTCTAGTCAATTAGCCGTTAGTAATCGCTAAAAATAGGGAAGGATGAGTATGAGATAAGCAATCCTACCTCTCATAAAAGCAACGCCACAGCTAATGAAACTTCAAAAAGCTCGAAGCACTATATCCTAATCGGAAGGCAGAGGAGTGAAAAAGATTGTCATAATTATTGCTATCATATTATTTACTTATTTACTCATCTTCATAACTTGTTCACTTGAACTAACAGAAAATCAGTTACACACCAAACAATAAGGCAATCAAGAGGATCACGATTTCCATTGTAGAGTGTTTCAATTTCGAAATTTTGGTTTCATAATAAGGAGACTAGTAATCAATGTGGTACAAATTAATAATTTATTATCATCGAAATTGGTTGGGTACAAAAGCTTATATGTCCAGGTAAACAGATTAAATATGGTAACGAAAGTGTAAATTAGTAATGAAACTGGTAGACAGTATCTAGTATTGATTGAATGGAGGATTTCATCATGAGGTGGCATCATTTAGAGAACCACTAGAAAACCTGAGAGTATGGGACTGCTGTTTCGTCAGCCTAGGTTGAGACTCTTCATCAGTACGCACCTACCGGGGTTCGAACCCGGGGCCTTCTGGTTACAAGACAAGCTCGTAGACCATTGAGCCACTGGGACCCGACCCAGTGGTTCTTGAATTCTAACTTCTGTCAATTCACGACATAGCACGACCATTTCGCAATGTCTTCTTCGGTGAGTTACTGTCTCATCTTCGACCTGCTGTACCCTACTGGTCACAGCTTCCCAGTAGAAGAGTATATAGCGTCAAAAAGTTATCCGAGCAAATATAAAGATTATTCTCACTGGTAGTTAATACCAATGGAATTCAGAATGCGAATTTCGTCTTGTTTGAGACTCATCTAGGAGTACCTGTGTCTCGGCCATCTACTAACTCTGACCAGATATTTCTAAAACTAATTCATCTACTTGTATTATACTTTTACAGAATCTGATTCCATGTCTGCTTAGAGAATGTTCACCGTTGTGGAACTGAACATGGGTTTTTGATTGTCTACGTGATTGTTTTGGTTCGTTGTAGTTAACGAATTCAGATTATAGGATTTGTAAAAACTTAGATTAATTTTAATTTCACCTGTAGATTTCGTCATTATCCAACATGAATTAGAGAGATTCTTGAAAACTAGGGAAAACTGGACAGCGGTTTCTCCCTAGTTTGCGGCTCTTAAGAACTGTGCACCCAAGAGTGCATGAGGATTCGGACCCGGGAACTATGAGTTACGAGATCAAGCTCTCTGATCAATCAACCACTTCAGCCAGAACTCAATGATTCGTCAATTTTCATTTTTGGCAACTTGTAATATGCCGCTACCCTAAGGCAGTAAATTAGACATGCATCTACTTCATCTTGGCATGGTGGACTCCACTGGTCACGGTTTCTCATTACAGCTTCAAAGAGTCCATCCAGTAGCCATCAGTGAGCTGGCGATTGACAATAAGATTAGAGGGTCTGTGAGGATTTTGGACTAATTTTAATTTTAATGTGTTAGATTTAGCTACGAACAGTATATCACAAGTTCAAAAAGTTAGAATTCACGAGTCATTGGACTCGAGCCCAAGTAGCTGAATGGTGGATGACCTCGTAACCTAAAGGCTGTGGGTTTGATTCTCAGTGGGATGGTAAGTGACGAAGAGTCCCAGAATAGTGCGAGACACAGTCTTACCGAATCTTTGTTGGCTAAATTGTTTCTTTACTGAAAGTAAGTAATCGTTTGTATTCGAATGTTTCCTTAATCAGGTTAACTTCAACACCTAATTTGTCATTTCATTAATGATGGAATCCAGGATGCGAGTTTCGTCCCACGTAGATGTGAATGTTGGCGTTCGCATCAAGACTAGAAACCAGCATCCAATATTTCAAACTCCAAAGAGTTATCCACTTGACCGTTGTGTTATGACAGTGACACCAGTTGTTACTTTTTACTGGTAGCTCTCGTGGCTCAGCGACCCTCAGTAGATCACATCTTGGAGTTTGAAACAATCGGTGATGATTGGGTTTGAGTCATAATGGGAAATACTTTACCCTAACATGAAACGGAAGAGTCCCCGATAGGATGAAATGCTCATCCTGAACTCAGCTGATAATAGCCACAAGCCAGATAACACTATATGCATCAAAAAGTATTGCCGAAGTGTCCGTACTAGGAACTGATACATCGATGGAGATAGAGCATTTCTGTCGCCTATAATCCACCAGCAAAGAATTCCAAATTACTTCAGCTAACTATATCAGTTCGAAAAGTGTCTGAGTTTTTATTTTTAAAGGCGTTTTATATCATGAGCTTTTAGAAATTGTAAAATATGCAACAAAAAAAATCGAATCACATAAAACATGGATTCTCTTCTGACTTTCTTAGCACTTAGTTGTGTCACTTTTAATTATAATCAGAAGTGAGATCTATAAAAGAGGAAACATGGTATGCTTCTGACAAGCAGTTATCTGAATATCTTTGGTATCTAGCTATCTACAATATACACAGATAGAAAATATGCTTTTCAAGGGGTTTAGTTAAAGTTTTATAACTAAGCCATATATATATATATATATATATATATACTACCCTTCGTGTCAATGAATACACAATTAATTAATTCACTTACTTACCTTAAGCTTTTCATAAGCTCTATGATATCTTCCATAGTTCAGCTCTAAATGATTTTCAAGCATTTTGTCATCAGTCTGTTGTGGATATCTTCGATAATTATCTAATTGCTAATTTCAAATTATGTAAGCATTATCTAATTATCTCTAACAACCTTTTGTATACGATCCAAATGCGTCTTTACTAATTCATCAAGCATAATTGTGTATTTTATTCAAGTACTAAGTGAAACATTGAACAAACAAATAATAAAATGAAACTATGGTTTCATTTTGCTATATACAATGACCTTGTAGTATGAAAAAGTGTTAGGTGGCCTGAAATCATACACTTAACTTTGAACTACTTCCATTAAATTACACGTGATATAATTGAATTTAATTGGTTGAATATACGAGTCAAAAAACCTTATTCTGATTTCTTCTAGTGATAGTACTTTTGTTTTATTGATTGTGTCCTGCCTTTAGATTAGTAAATTGTTGATTATTATCATTTGAGTTACTCACTTTGTTCAAAAGAATTTAATCTAGTTTCGGCTGGATGGAACTGAGTAGTATAATTATATAGTTAATTGTTTCCCACATAGAAGTCATAGAAGTATTTTGTGATCCATTATTTCCAGGAGTAGGCATTTGATTTGTTTTAAGTTTCAGGATGAACTGGTGTCATTTACAGAACTACTGAAAACTAGAGATTGCTGCACAACTGTTTTGGTCCTAGTTTGGGAGTCTTCATCAATACACACCTAATTTAAGTAAATCCAATCCGTACAAGTGCGTTGGTGGCATAGCGGTTAGGACGCTCGCAGACCATGTACATGGTCCAGGGTCCGACCCCCGGCCACCGGAGCATTCCTTTACCTCGCTAAGCCAGAAATAATGCTGGTAAAGAGGAAAGGTTTGGCATAGGGCTAGCAACCCTATCATGTAAAAATAAACACTGCTACAGAAACTTCAAGCCTCTAGCTTGAAACCCTATGTTCCACTGGGAACTTGAAGGAAAAAAATACGTACAAACTAACTCCTGAAAATAATTCTAAGGCTTGACAGTGGTTCGTTATAAGACAAAGTTGCCCGGAGGTTTAGCGAGAATTCGTCATCAAGGAAATGTGAGGACATATACTCGCTAATGATACTGGCTGATGCTCGCGCTAAAAATCACAAATTGAAAGCAGCTGGAATCCATAAGCAGTTGGAATGGATCCAATTGACCAAGTGATCTACTCGCTTGCCTTGTAACCAATAGGTCCTGGATTCGATCTCCAGTGAGTGAGTACTGTCAAATAGTCCCAAAATAGGACGAAACGGCTTTCCAGTACTCCCTGGTTCTCAACGATTCTCTAATTAACGTCAATCCATGATGAAAACTTGATCCATTATGTCCCGTGAAAACAATAAGTTCTGTACTTCTGATTGTAACCATCAATTTGGTTTTTGTTTTATATTTATACTCTACAAGTGAAATTTTGTATTCACACTAATCTGCATATTCGGTGTTCAATATGATGCTAAGATGTCACTTCAGGAAGTATTGATCAACTATTTCCTTTTGAATGAGACTCTTCAATAAGATGCAACGATAACCTCATTGTTGGTTGCACTCGGGGCCTTCAAGTTATGAGGCGAACGCGTTGACCATTCAGCCAAGCACAGTGGAAAAAGTTTCGTGTCCCAGCCGACACACACCTAAACCTCTCCTAAGCCGTATCAAGTCCATATAAAAAAAGGGAAGGTTTGATGTGGAACTAATAACTCTATGGCATCATATAAAAGAAAAACCGCCATTTCCGAAGCTTGAAAGCTGAAGACGTTCGCTTCTCTCGGAACCTAAAGAATGAGAAAAATGTCATCCACTGGATAACATTTTCAATACCTGAATTCAACTGAGTACATTCTGCTTTGAAATTTACGTGCGAACAGGAATCCCAAAACAGAATTTCCTTCCTGGATGTCCTCCTTACAGGAAAACCAGATGGAAGCACAAAGAGAAATTTTCATAGGATAAGCATAAGGATAGGACAATATACGCATTTTCACAGCTTCTTTCCTTTCCAGTACAAAAGAAATTTAGTAAGGACCCTCAGCCACATGGTTAGAGCTGTATGCTCAGAAGAGTTAAGTGAAGATGAATTAAGCATTGTATATGATACTTTGATCGAAAATCGATATCCCGACAAATTTATCAAGAAACACACGACAAAGAAAGCGGAAAAGGACTACTCACTATCTGTAAAGAAGAAGCCACTTCATATACGACTACAATTCAAGAGCAATATACCAAGCAAAATAATTACGCAGAAATTAGGAAAATCAGTTCAAAGGACTTTCTATGCTGGCGAAATACAAGGCATGTTTAATACAAGACCGATAGTGATCCCTCGGTTGCAAGATGAAATAACTACACTAGCTACTTCCAATTGTATCTACCAATTCAACAGCGCTTGTGGAGCGAGTTACATAGACTGTCGCTCTAGGAACTTGATTTTTCGTGCTCAACAACGTCTCCCAGTATGGCCAAGTGAAGGTGTATTTGGATATTAAACCATCTGGTCCTAACCAGCCACAAAGTCAGCATTGAAGAATCCTTCTCAATCATCTACCAGGTACCAAATAAATCGCCAAAAAAAATCGACGTACCGCATGCTTCAAACAGCAGAGGCTATCGCTATTTGCTTTAAACAACCAGTGCTCTGTGTGTGTAGAAGAAGCAAGTCCAGTCACTACTACTGCCCTGGCCTTCCTTCAGTGGTAACTATAAATTCATGAATTTGCATTATTATTTTTCCTATACTGCCTGTCTGATATTCAGTTTACTGTAATGTTGATGCCACGGAACTGTAATCCATTGATAGTATTATTGATTCGTTGTTATTTAAACAACATTAATGTTGTTCATAACACTAATTCATTTATTCATTCACTATAATGTATGTATAACTGTAGAGCTGATAAAGAAGTTATCGAAAAGAGTATTCTTTGTTCAGTAACCATTCTTTTGAAAATTTTCAATAAAATTTATTATTTGTAAATCTACAAAAGTTATCATATAATTTCCTTCATGTTACTTTAGCTTAACTTTCTTCAAATGAGAAGTGGCTTTCATGGCTTAATGATATAAAGGCTAACTCGTAAGTGTTTGAAACGATGGTTACCATTTTTGAATGTCATTAGTAATATCACCACTCACAGCGGATGAAGGTATATCTAATCAGTGAGTCTAATAAGGCGCATCCTAGATTCTATTAATAGCTGTCACCAATCGAATCTTGGGAAATACTCACCAAGACATTTGAGAGAAATTCACCAAATACATCTCCCCAGAGATTCCATTCTCAATAGCTGTACAGTGATAATTTGTATACACAAATTAGCATAGTTACAATAATTATTTACTCACTAAATTAAATTTGATATATACAACAGGAGTGAGTCATTACTGCATTCAGAAAGTTAAAGTGCTACATAAACGATACGAATGAAGATCTACTGCAGCATTAAGTGATTTTACGAATGCTGTGAAATTAAACCGATTTCTGATGAAACAATGAGCAAAGTCACAAATATGAATTCTTAAGAAACACCACGCTACTTTGTGATACATCAGATAGGAGAACAAATATTGAATTAAGCTTCAGATGTTTTACAATTTCTATTTTAACGGCAGTTGGGCTTCAGGACTTCATAGTTAAGACAACATTGTAAAGCAGAAAACGCTGAATATCTCATCCGTCCTAGTTCTATACACTTCAGCGATGAACCTTTACAGCTCCACGAAGGATTGTGTCGTCGGGCACTCAAAGGCTGGGGTGGAAACATGTAACAGTTTTATTCAGTGGATTAAAACCCAATCAATTATGATAACGAAATTTGCAGCTATTCATTTTAGATTTTTTAAACATGCAGCTTATATTCGTGTAAATTATAATCCAATACTTAAAAATTAATCTGACGTTCACCAGCGACTGGCCCTATTCAGGCAGTTAACCTGGGGTTCTAGTGGGAAGCCGTGACCAGTAGAGTACAGCAGGTTGAAATTGAGGCATTAACTCATCGAAGAAGACATTGTGAAATGGTCGCGCTATGCCATGAATTGACAAGAAGTTAGAATTCAAGGACCATTGAATCGGGTCCCATTGGCTCAATAGTCTACGAGCTCGTCTTGTAACCAGAAGGTCCTGGGTTAGGACCGCCGTCATAGATGCATACTGCTGAATAGTCTCAAACTAGGACGAAACAGCAGTCCAGTACCCCCAGGTTATCTAGTGGTTCTCTAACTGATGTCAGCTCATGATGAAATCCCCCATTCAATCAAACAAAATCCCTACAAAACCAATAATTAAATCATAATTAGCTGCAATCAGCCTACTGATGTTCAATAAGTGTAACAGCTTAATCTACAAAAGAGTCGAAATTAGTATTTTAGTGTATTGATTTCCTTAATATTCTCTTCTTCCTGATTTCAACCTTCGATTTATTTACACTTTTATTTCAAGTCAATTTTAAGTTCATTATTGAAGTCGGCATATCATTTGTTGAGTTTAGATGCACTTTCAATATGAAACATATTACTGACGTGGAAAAACTGATCTGCAACTTTCAGATTTTCAGATTATGATCAGATTTTAATTAAAATCAGTCAAATCCCTACAAATCAACACTTGAAAACTAATCTAATGCTAATAATGATCTGACAACAGGAGGCCGTCCCCAGGGTTGTAGGGAGAAGAGATGACCGGTCACTTCCACTAGGTCGGTTTCAAGAACATGGCTGATGGGATTAGCTGGAGTTTGCTTTATATATGTGGTAAATTTTCAGAAAGTGAAATCCATTGACCATTGGATCTCGTCTCGGTGGTTGAATCGTCAACTAGTTCGCCTAGGGACTTGGAGATCTTCAGTGGAGTCATGGGTGAGTATATCTGGGAAGTACCAGACCAGCACAAAACAACTACCTAGTACTTCATGGTTCTCAGTGATTCTCTAAATGATGTCGGCTCGTGGTGTAGCTTAAAATCGACCAGATCATTGCTAACCAACATTTGAAACCTTCAATTATTTTCCCTATTGATGGAAAAAAAAGTCATGGAAACAGAAGTTTCTATCAATAATTAGCACTTTACTTTGATTGGATACTAGTCAGTGTCTGGCTGCAGCACTGAGTGATATGGATTTGATACTCAGGAGCAATATGAGTTCCTTC